GAGAAGAGGAGGGCGCCCAGGCTGCCGTACAGCACCTGCAGCACGCTGGAGTAGAAGAAGCAGCTGAAGAAGCCGAACATGACCAGGTCCACCGCCAGCACCAGGAGCAGGCCGTTGCAGTAGGTGAAGTCGACCCGCGTCTGCGGAGACACGGACGACAGCGCTCAGGGCCGGGGGCCGGGGGCCGGGGGCCGGGGGTGGGCTCAGTGCGGGCTGCAGTCCCTACCTGCGCCGAGAAGCCGATGACGGCGAAGGTGATGGCCAGCGTGGAGCCCATGGCGATGAGCACGGCCGTGGTGTTGTGGAAGGAGGCCACTGTGCCCACCATGTAGGAGAGGCTGAGGGTCACCGTGCCCTGCGGGAGACGACACGAGGGTACTGAGCCCTGCTCCCGATCCAGCCTCGGCTGCGCTGGAGTAGGAACACGCTCGCGCCGCTCTGTCTCCGCTCTCGGAACGGCCAGGAAGCAGTGGTTTGTCGGGGAAGCCCGCGATCCACTGCAGCGCATCGCCGAGGAAACCAAAACACAATCCTGAGAGCCACCCTCATTCTCTCGTCTTTGATGGTGACACTGCGGATCATTTGAGTGTACGCACTGGAGCTGTGGGTGTAGGTACGGGGACAGTGTCCAGCACCCAGCAGGATGTGTCCGGACTGACTTTCCCCTGGGGTTCATTCAGAATGAATGAACACAATTATAACCACGGGGACGCTCACAGGTGTCCTGAAGACTGACCGGGACGTACTGCTTCAAACTGAAAGTCGGCTAATCATGATGGACATGCTGTATGACAGTTGTGTTATCGCCTGATGATCGCATGAAGTACACGATGTACTATCTCATAATAACGCTGTCATTTCTTCGTCGTTATGAGATAACTCAGGATTTTTTTCCCCTGGATGGCAGCACTGCGTTTTGTAACGATCACGACAGGGGGGGGAAGGGGGAGCCGACCGGCCCTGCTCTCGCTCTGCGCACCAGTGCGATGAGGTTCCAGGGGTGCCTCCTGCGGATGGAGCCGCAGAACTCCACGACGAGGGCCACGACCACGAAGATGATGTAGGAGCTGAGGTAGATCCACAGGTTCTTCTGCACGGCCT